GGGGGAGGGCCAGGAGGATCTCTGTGAGTTTGAGGCCAGCCTGGTTTACAGAGCAAGTTCCAGGACAGCCAGGGCTACACAGAGAAACCCCTCTTGAAAAACCAAAGCCAGTCAATCAACCAGCTAAACAAACAAACAAAAACCAAATCAATCAAACAAACAAAAAACAAGTGGAATGGATAATTTCCTGGAAAAATATAGAAAAATAAAAAAAACCTGAAGAAATTTATAATTATAAAGAAATGGAATCCATTGTTAAAAAACAACCTATCAAATGGCTATCCCAGACCCAGAAGTTTACCAGAACGTTCTAGAAAACGTTTAAGAATAAATATCATCTTTTTGTTGTTTGTTTGAGACGGGCTCTTATGTATTTTTTGCAGCTCTAGGACAAGACTGACCCTGAACTTACAGTGATCCTCCTGCCTCTGCCTCCCAAGTGGTGGGATTACAGATGTGTACCATCTTTAACACACTGTTCCAGAAAGTGGAGGGGGAGAGAGAACAACATTTTACCGTTTTAGGAGGCCAGTATAAACAGACAAAAGTGTTAAGGGGAAATTGTAGCCAATTTGACTTCTGCATATGACCACACAAACACACAAAAAAAGGTTCTAGGGCAAAATGGACAGTGACATTCACTCATATATCAATCTGTCCTCCACCAAAAGTATTTATTGTCAACCACGAACTAGCAGGTACTGTACTGGTACAAGGAGAGCAAAAATGGATGGGAGCCCGTGGCCTGGCTGAGATGGGTAATAATAAAGCAAATGATCACACAGGGAAAGGTACACAGAGGACCTTCTGCTGGGTTCAGTGTCTATCCAGAGACGTTTGACCTGGTCAGAGAAGTGTGGGAAAGCTTTCCAGGCATATAAATGGACTAAGAGTCCTTGTGGGCAGCTGTGGGAGGCTGTTCCAGGGCCTCGGGTGCGAGAGCTCTGATAGACAGAAGTAAGAGAGACGGCTTTGATGAACCAGTGAGATGGTTCATTGGGTAAAAGTTCCTGCCAGGCAAGCCTGACCTCACACCTGAATTCAACCTCTGGAACCCAGGAGAAAGGAAGGACAGACTCCTGAAGGTTGTCCTCTGACCACAGACACACACGCATACAATGGAAAGAAACTTAATTTTTTTAAAAAAAGATGGATTTGAGCGATCTTTACGATGTGAATTCCACAGACGCCTAGGTGAGCTGCACACAATGAGGTCAGAGTTCAAGCATGTTGTCTCCAGGCTGGCTGAGGACATTCATTGACAAGGATTCCAAAAAGAGGGGAGAATAGTCTGTGTGTGGCTTTGGCCATGTTGCATCTAGAATATCTTTAGGAAGGGTAAGTGGAGATGTATAGAGAAGAGGACCCTGAGCCGAGCCTGGAACTCTGGTGAGGCGAAGGCTGGACATTTGGAGTGGCATCAGCACGTAGGTGGTATTTAAATCCAATCCTGCTCAGAAGGTCATCCAGGACGAGGTACCTGGAGGAGAGGATCGGGCTGGAGAAGCACACCAACATTTAAAGGAAAAGCAGATAATCAGAGAGGGCAAGAGGAAAGGTGACCCTGGACCAGAGAACCCAGGGAGTGTGAGAATGGGCAGAGAGGGGAAGGAGGAAGTCTCAGGAAGGAACTGCCTAGACCGGTACAGACTGTCACTGGTACCCTGAGAGAGCCAGCTGGAGAAGAAATGCAGAATCTTACAAATAAATACCCCAGTGCAAAGGGCAGCAGCAGCCGGGGCTGGGGGACAATGAAACTGCTCGGCGTGCTTATCCTGGTGGGCGTCATACAGTCTGGGCATTTGTCAAAATTCAGCATCATAGAGCAAGGGAAGGTCTGTAACCAAAATGTTACCACCTGGGGAAAACAACACCAAACCAACCAAAAACCTGCAGGAGGTTGTGGCTCCCTTGGTAGACTGCCTTCCGACAAGCCCCGAAGCCCCGGGTTTGATCCCTAGCATCTGCATAAACCTGGCATGGTGGTGCACGCCTAGAATCCCAGCAGCAGAGGCAAAAAGGTCAGCCGTTCAAGGCCATCCTCTGCAATCTAGGGAGTTTGCCACCAGCCTGGGCCACAGGAGACACTATCTCAACAAAACAATAATCTGCGAAGGGAAAATAAAACTTGGTGGTGGTGGTGGTGATGGGGTCAGTGGCAGTCAGAGCTCTGGTCCTCACCAGAGGCCAGCCTGGGGTAGCAAAATTGTCTCCAATAATACCAAACTAAGTAATAACAATGGATGGATGGAGCCTTCCCCTTGAGTGCTTTATCAGGCCCTGGCTTGGCCTCTGCAGTGCTAGGAGCCCGGTACCCCCCAGGTTTTCACTCAACCCACCACTTAACAGTTCAAATCTACGTCAGGAAGGCAGCTACCCACTTCTGCCTAGTGAGGGCCAGCTGCAGAGCCAAAGGGCACTGGACCTTGGCCAGGGTTCCTCTTAGGGACGAACTGGTTGGGATGGGAATACAGCCTGACAGCCTGGCACCTTTAGGACTCCCGTATTCAAGGAAGGGGCTGGGTAAGGAAAGGAGGCCTCTCTAGCTCTGATGGTCCGTGGTTCTGTGGTAAAAGTCCAAAATATAATCCAATTAGCTGTGTTGCCCGTATGTTGTTATTGAGCGTAATCGCAATAAACAACTACCAGCATAACATGCGGCTCTTTAACACGTGGGTCCCCAGATGATTCGAGAATCAGTTTGGTTGGAGTGTCGGGAAACGGCATGGTTTGTGGTTTGAAGTCTTATGAAGTGCCTTCCAGAAGTTATATTCACTAACCATTCATAATAGAACACGATCCATGTAAGCTGGCAATTAAAAAGGGGACTTTTACATTGTGCTCTTCAAACGCTCCGCCCTACCCCACCAATCCTGTCAGAGAGGCATTTTCCCAGTTTAGGGGAGAGATTGAAAGTCCTGATCACTCAAGGCTTTGGCTGGTGTTGAGATTTTCCAAACGTTCCGAAACCCACAGTGGGCACGGCACAGTTTTGGTGTTGAGTGTATTCCATTGTCTCCTAATTCTATGAAAATTAATGGAAAAGTGTTAATTGGGCATCAATGCATGCTTAACATTAATCCGGGTATTTGATGAACCACAACTTTATGCTGCCCCTCATGCCATATTAACTTGGTTTATTGTAATAATTTAAAACAATAAGGATAATTGTATCCGTACTGTTTTAAATACCCCATAAATTGAATACAGCCTGAATCTGGCCAGCCTGGAATCCGAAGTGTGCAATGTCTCTGGGAAGCTACAAACATCCTTTTGGAGTTTACACTTCTCCAGGGGAGGAAGGCAGCTTTTACTAAACACCTACTGCGTGCCAGGATCCGTGAGGCACCTTATGGTTTTCCTCCGAAAACGGGGGAGGGGGGCGCTTTGTTACCTCAAAGACCTCCCCCAGGTCTTGGGAGATCTAGGGCCATTTCACTCTGACGCACTTTTACTCTACATAGGAAGCCCGAGTAACTTTTTAAACATAATAAACAAAATAGGTAACAGACGAATAATCGGGGCGGGGGGAGTTTCTGAAATAACCACCCATCCCAGCCACCCTCGAGACGCTCCCCAACTACCACTCATTCTGCATAAACATGTGCTTGTGAACCCCAATCATTTGACCTTGACCCCTAAAAGCCCACTTTATTATATTTTTAAATCCTGGTTTGAGTGACGCGCAAACCCTGTTTTGGGTGTTTTCTCGCCCCCCTGGTATCGCGTCTGTTTCTCAAAGTTCCAAAATAACCTTCGCGGGCACGGCTCCGTACCTCTGCCGGGGAAGGGCGGGGAGCCGTGCAGGACGTGCCCGGTGTGGAGCGGGAGCCAGAGAACTTGCCGCGCGAAGGGAAAATAAAACTTGTGGCTGGTGTTTGTGCGGGGGGGTGGGGTGGGGGTGTCTCCTCCATCCCGAAGCCCCTCCGATTCCCGGGGTCTCGGGGACCGCAGGGTGTGGGTGTGCTCCCGGCGTCCTTGACCTAAATTTCCGCGCGGTGGCTGGAAACCGGGGCACAGAGGCAGGGCGGGCGGCGGGTGCCACCTCCGGATCGGGCGCAGGGACCCGAGAACTTGAATGGCTAGCGCGAACTAGGGGGGTCCGGGGCGCTGCCGCCTCCCCGCCCGGCGAGCCGCCCGGGCTGAGCTCTCCGCGCCTCCCCCCTCCCCCACACCCAGCCCATGTGATCTGAGCCGACTCGGGGTGCACTTCCCGGCTCCCCGCCCCGCTGACGTGGGCCCCCCCCCGTCTCGAGTCTCGGGGCTC